CTGGCTTGAGTAGAAATTGGACTGTGAACCACACCTGAATTCATGTAAACGCAATTATTATGAACTCTAACTGAAAAAAAATCATTAAAAATACCATATTGAATGGTAAATTGTTCCATTAGAGCAACGAAAACCCCAAACCGCATATTTGATGTATAAAAAAAGAGCCGAAAAAATGCAGTTTAATCATTGTTTAAATGTTCATTACGGAAAATGTTTCGATAGACAGACGTGTGGTGTTCGGCGCTATCCTTTGAGAACACTCCCATGAAAAATAAAACAATGTTGGGCCAACATTGTTGGCCCCGCCAAATTGCATTCCAATAATGTTGAGTGTGTCGACCGTTATACTCTGTCCATGCGTTGAATCGTTAATTTATATGTTTGCCGGTTGAATTTATATGGAGCCAAGACAAAAATCGCCTTGACCAATAAATATAGTAAAATCATCCGAAACAACGTCATTAGGTAATGCACAATGGGCTTTGATACAACAAAGAACAATTACAAAACAAAACACCAGAAAATGAGAACAATCAATTTAAATCAATTTATCAGGTTCGATTACTTCCACAAATTGCTTTCGAAAATTATACATCTCAATTTTTTCGTTGTGTTGTTGTACACGTCAAGCAAATGACCAAGCAAATTTTACCCCCGACCACCGTACAATCGGCAAGCGTACAGATTTTCGACTCACCTACCGAATGCATTTCAGTGTGACCGCATGATGAAATGCACATCATCATCAACAATAACAACAGCAATCGATCAGCGTTGGCCTCGACTCTTCGATCGCACCATAAGATTTTTTACTATAAACGATTATTACATCAAATTCAATTTAGTGTTTATGCGCACAATTGCCTCTATTTGCTCATCAAATGTTACTTAAAAACGTTGGCACACGCGTTGCGCATATGTTTTCCTGGTCGATCTCTTCCATATAAGACAAGGGAAGCCAACATGATTTGTTCGGTTCTTGTTGTTGCTTTTCTTTCAAGAGCATTTGATGAGTTGCCCATTTCCGAACAAATAAATTAATGACCACAACACAATATTTGGGGATGGTACTGAAATTGTCGAAAGTGTCGATTGTCGTTAGCCAACGACTTGATATATGAATGAAATTGACAAAATATCTCAATGTTGATGAGAACTGAATGCGTTTGGGAATTGCAACTAAGCCGCAGTTACCACAGAAAAAGCGGCTGCGGAAATGGACGTTTTATAATGATACATTTGGGAAATTTAACAAAAATTGAACAGTTCACTAACTCACTAACTCTCCGTCTCGTTATCATCGAAATGAAACGAAATATTCCCGGTGTTAGTTTGTAGTCAGCCCACGCTTTTTCATTTGAAAAGTGCTCAGTTCCAATGTTTAATTGTTAGGTTGGCACACTCAAAGGGAGGATGTTTAATGGTAAGAACGACAAAGTTCAAAACATTTCCGAAAAAACTATCAAATTAGAGAGCATTCGAATATAGAAGTCTTTTCGAACGATTGTAGCCAACAAGTTTTCCATGAAACTTGCCGCCAAAGTTGAAAGCGGTTTGCTCCTCTCATTAATAAGTATTTTGCTTGATTTATTATTAAATTGAAAAAAAATTAAATAGAATAATGTATGGAGCACTTTCAGTTCACTAGTGTAAAACTTTATTATCAAAAGATTTTGAGTCAGAATACACGGTCAGTGTGAAGCCGCATAACAAGTGTGAAATGATTCATGACGCATTTTGTAGGTTTTATTATTGCTAAAATTCAACAACAGTAAATTGAATGAAAATGGCTATTTCTCATACATTTAAGCCTATTTCTCGGGGTTTAATGCTCATGAACAGTGGCAGCGATTCGATTCAATCAGCCACACTAAGAATGCTTTCGGCAAACAATCAGTGATATTAATGTCACTTGAATTAATTGATTGGATGCATACAAATGCAAAAAAAACATCGGTGAGTTCAAAATGTAAGTGTTGGCTGTAGAATAGAAAGAGGATTTCCACTTTAAGCATACATATACTGCGGCATTTATGTGCTTATCTTTTTGCAAAAAAAAAACAAAATGTGAATCGAGCATCGATGAATCGGTTTAATTTGGACTTGCAAACCGCTTTAATTTCGATTATTCGTCATCAGATAAGCATAAAGTGACCCGGATCACGGATCAGAGACGCCGGAACCATTTAAAAGCCGTTTTATGTTACGTGTCTTTTGTTTCGGAGAGACATTTTATATTGCCTACGGTTTATTTACCGTCGTGTGCCCGTCGAAATTGGTCAGACATATCGATGTCCGAACGGTTCTAGTGCATAAAACATGTGTTTCGTCAATTCGATATTCACCTCAATCATAACAACCACGATTTTGAAAATCAAAATAAAATACCCAACAAAAGGAAATCGAACGAAAAATTTATGCGGCACACACGTGACCAAAGTGTGGATCGGACGGCGGTCAGATAAGTTTTTCTATTCTATTCGGTATACGTTTGGTGCCCTGGACAAATGAACACACTGAAAACTATTTCCGATTAAGGTTTTCTTTTTTTTTTAAATAGCTTTCGTTGTCATTTCGAATATTGTTGTTCGTGAGAGTAAGCCGTTCGCTCGGTGCCCTTTTGTCGATGTATTATGCATATGTATGACACTCTGTTTCATGGACCTCATTGTGGCAGCGGTTTTCGAGTGTAAACATTGAAATTGCACCTTGGCCATAACATACATATAACGAACACTGTAAATCGTAATCGTATTATAGAATTTCCAGTATTTATTTTAACATTCGTGTGTTGCGAGAAGGTTCAATTGAGTCGATGTGAAGTGCGTTCTTCACAAGCTCATGCCAGAAGCGATCAATTAACCTTAAATCGCATTAAAAAAAAAAGAACTCTGCATATATTTTGACAAGAAGAAATATTATGACTTAATTAGGATTTATGGTGGTATTTGGTGCAATGTCAACACAAGATTTATTACTTACTCATGTCCAAATTGATTTCTTCGCGACTTATGTGCGGAATTTTATCAATTTTAGTGGCCAAACACAAAGAGAGTCTGTGAACACACGAGTTTAACCCTAATATCGTCATTCGCATGAATTGACGATGGCGAATCCATTTCGACCGACCAATAAATTTATCTGCAAATGAAAATCGACATCGATTTGCTAATAGAAGAAAGTGCGTTTCACCAAATTGGTTGCGGTAGAGTGAGCTTCGAAAAGGAGTGATAGCCAAGATGGCGGACGACGGAGACGATACAAAGAGCGCACAGAGCGCACAAAGGAACAAAAAACAACAACAACTTCCAAATGAAAGGAAATGAAGAATCGGAAATGAATCCAATTGCTATGTGAAATCGCGCCAACCCCCCCCAACAAACACTAGTTAATAATACACGTATTTCTTACCTTCGCCGCATACATTTTTTATACATTTTCCGTAAGACTAACCACCCGAATGCAAACAACGCTTCAGTAACGTTTCATCGAAATGAACAGAAAAAAAAAACAACAACCGAAACAAGCAACCAAATCCAATTCAAGAAGCACACACATACATATTCAAAGGTCGTTCAGCATACATCAAGCATAAAAGCTATCAAAGCCAATTCCATTTCGGCTCCCATTCCATTTTCTCCGGCATTTTTTGTTCTTTCTTCTTTATTTGTTTCTTTGTTCCCAAGCGAAATATTTTCTATTTTTCTTTTTCATTTCGGGGCATTTTTTCCGATCTTTCTTTTTGTATTTCACTTTCTCTGTCCGTATCAAGTAGAGAACTTGTTTTCTTCGTTCGGCGAACACATTGGGGGCAAAATGAATATCAAAAGGACTTCTGTTTTTATATTCGTATAAATTTTAGGAGGATTTTTTTCTCCGTTTTTTCTTCTTTCTTTTTTCACATTGCGCTTGGTTTTTTTTTTTTTTTTTTTTTCATTTTTGAGTTTATTTCTATTTGAATTTGTCTGCGTTTGTTGTGGGATACGTGCTGTAGTTGTTATTTTGTATGTGTGCATTGAAATGTATCTATGACGATCAAAATGATTGTAACGGTTCGGAAGAATGGAACACTTTTTTTCCGTTCGTCTTCCCGAAAAGGATTTGGACGACTAAACACCGAAAATCAAAACAATGAATATTTAACTTGGCAAAAGGAAATAACATACCAGCCAGTGCTATCAGTCATTGAGCGCACACACTCTATTAGCAAGTCAAGGGAGTCGACCAAGGCGGAGAAGACAACAACGAAAATAAATTCAGCGGAAAATACAATCGTCGATGTACCAAATGTCAGTTGTTGCGAAAGGAAATGGATCCAGCCAAAGTGAATGCGAACACTGAAAAAAAGAATATGGATGAAATCCGTAATTTTCGCCAGCTCAAAATGCTTCTCGTCTGAGCACCCGAAATGCTCGAAATTCGTAATTTACGATACATTTGTAGACGGTCATTTTAAGGCGAAGCAAAAAGCTGAGGAAAAAAAATACAAGACAAAACAGAGTAAATGAGGGATAAATTACTGAGTGCGCTGCGCTCCGTTCATTTGTCTGAAAAAAGAATTTATTTGTTTTGTTGGGTGCTTTTAGCACTAATATTGGCGCTGGCGAAGAGCTTGAGAATGAAATAGCCCTGTCTGTCGAATGTTGAAATATCGTTCTGCAAACGCAGAGCTATATATGTATATAAGTACATATATGTACGAATATATACACCGAGAGATTCAACCATTTTGTTTTAATATTGGTCTTCTACTTGATTTATTTGTGTGTGCTCGCAAAGCGAATCGTCTCTTTCGAGCGATGAGAATGCAAACACAAGCCAAACAGTAGCCTGAAAAATTGATAAACTTACTTAGATAATAAATTTTTAAATCAGCCATTAACTCAACTCACATTTTTTTTTTCTCTCTCTCTCTCTCTCTCTCTCTCTTTCTCTATCGCTCCTTCGTACCGTGCGATTTTTTTTCTTCTTTGTCGCCCGATCTGTTTGCCGTGCAGTAGTAATGCATAAGGAAAAAGAAGAAAATGGATTATTATCACACATGCATCATCATGACGCGTATCGAAGTAGGGAATTGAGCACATTCGAGCACAGTCTTTCCGATGGTGATATGTTTTTACAGGTAAGTGCTTTAATTGTTTTTGTTTGGTTTTTTATTTTGTTCACTCTCCGTTTCGAATCGAAGAGGTTGATTTTAATTTGCATCTTCGAGCGAATCCAAAAGCAATAAGTCAAAAAGAAGGGGACACAAAGATTTCCACTTGTATAACCACTGGCGATAATTATCGTTATACATTTAATGGGAATCTTATTGAATTTCATTGAACAACAGAAGGCAATGGAAAAAATGCTACGCAAGAAAAAAAAAACAAGCAAACAAAGTTTTAACATGATTCAGTTCAGAAATGTACGCAATTTCGAGATTAAAATACGTTAATCTATCTCTTTTCATCAGCTTCATGCAAAATGGCGGGGTTAAACAAAGTTAAATAATGTTGTCACATTTACGATTTACACTCGTAATGTAGATACCCAATAACGATATACGTATTTGTCGCCTGTATCGAGCTGCGTTTTGCATATATTTTCCAATCGAGTAATTCATATATGCATTTAATTACGGCGAGAAAAAAAAAACAGCAAGTAGGAGTTGCACAACGATCGAAGACAAATTATAAACCACCAGTCAAAACCGATGCGAACGAAAAGGTGCTACGTTATGTTACACTGTTACAGTCGTCGTGCATATCGATTAGTCGACGGTACACTTAAACACTCAATGGATTTTCATGTAATTGCCTGCCATTAGTTTGCCAGTAAAAACGGCTCCAATTCTTCAAACCCATTCCAGAATGCAGTAGTAATGTTGGGTTAACCCAACAACACATGCATTCAATGCGATGTATGCAATTAAAACTCTCCTTTAAGCCAAACTATGACCAAGATGAATGATTATTTGCGAATCAAGAGGACATATGTTGACGGGATATATGACTCGCTGACGCTGGTCAATTCGATGCCCCTACAAAATCACGCCATTTTTGGCGACTAATTATGGTTTCTTCGACAATTTTAACCTGTTGCTGTCGCGTGGTCAAAGCAACAACACATTTACATCGGCTTCCGAGCCATGTAGCTAGCAACAATTCTAACCAGCGTCAAATCACCCGAAATGCCCAATTGTAACCGCATTACATCATATCGCAGAGCACATTAACATAACAACTATGTTTGATATGGCATTTGACATGAAACAATTATATATTCCAATGAAGTGCCATGCTGAAATCAGCAGCTGCCAACTTATTGGGAAATCACGCATTTCGTCTTTCTTTCTCTCTCTCTCTCTCTCTCTCTCTCTCTCTCTTTCTCGCTTGCTTCCCAGGCGCACATTAATTTGCGATCGAAAACCGGCAATTGAAGTGTACACACCGTTTATTAGCAACTAAAAATGCACCAAGAAAACGCTGAAAATCTCGATGTAATTTTGAATGCATTGCATTAAAAGACATCAATATAACACATTAGCAATGTACAATGTCGCGCGCGTATGTGCTCAAACTGGGATTTTTTTTCCCCAGTTCCTTTCAATATCCTTCTATTCGCCATTGCGTGCAGATCGTAAGCTTTCGATTAAATGTTTTATTATTATGAGGTGCTCTTTAAACTTTGTCCAAGTCCGTGGCTTCGAGTTATGTATGTGTGTGAGCGTTCATTTGCTCGCTTGCTCGTCACTTGTAAGTGATAGTACCGTCGAGGAAAACTCAAACATGTAACTTAAGTGGTTTGAAAGGCTAAACGCGTTCATCAGTAACTAACCATAGAACACCATCAAAGAAACCTGAAAAATTATAATCGACCAAATCACGCTTCTACCATTCAATTTTCCAGAGCGTGAGCGCACGCTGACGGACACCGATGCAAACCTGTTTGATATGCTGAATCTTTTATGCATTTGAATCGCAAAATTTGCTTCGTCCATGACATAAAATCGTAATAGACGTTTAACGTTTTGTGAAATGGAAAAGTGAACAGAAAATGAACTGGAATTGATCGGGATTCAAGAGGCACCCACGTTTACCACGCAAAACGCCACTTTTAAATTTAGATTTTCTTCTTCATTTTTTTTTATCCTTCATAGATCTCCTCCAGCAAAATGGATTGATTTACGTATTCAATTGAAAAAAAGTTTATTGAGAATGAAGATTTTTTCATGGCAGAAATATTCTTTGCTGTTGTAGAAATTGGATTTAAAATCAAAGCTGTGGAAACAGTGAACGCCAATTATCACTATTTTTCATTCAAAATATGTCTCGCGGCAAGACCACTTACTCTACTCATTTATAAGTATACTCTCTCGAAATGACAAACGATCTCTTCCGCCTGAACCAATGACACCAATTGATGATGAGCGGGCATCGAAAATCAAGATCATATCAAAAGTTCGTTCCTTAATTCAAGAGTAAATGCAAACGATTAGTGCTTCTACTTCTCGGGAAAAAAATTCACTCTCTCAAATTAAAGGTTATACAATACACTGTATAGTGTATATATGAATACATTTTGATAGATATCTGCAGCCTATATTATTCTTTTCTTATGAATGAAGAGATGTAATCGGTAATCACAAACGAACAAATTCGAATCAAATGATGAACCGAAAAAGAAAACCATGATTAGATTAAATGACCAGCATTTAAATTGATGATGGTTTTCCTGTGTTTTTGTTGCCTTGTCGGTTGAAACCATATTGGCGGTGGAAAAAAGTGTGCGTAAATAGCGAATTTGTCAATTACATGCATAAATTGATCAAGATTTTACCATTCGATGTATTTGATCCAAAGAATTTTGTCGCTTTATTCACTGTTTCAGCGGATAGTTTTCACAAGAATGTCTCCCTGTAACAAAAAATGAAGAAACATATTTTCGTCTGACATTGATTCCGAACGTCTGCCCAAAAAAAGTATTCAGACAAAAAGACAGTAAAATGTTGAGAGAGAGAGAGAGAGAAAAAAAAACAAAAAAGAAATACATCACCTAATGTGATTTTAATAATCATTGCACGTGGAATGAGATGTCTGGTGATTAAATGTATCCATATCAAAAGAAAACGGAACAAAGCACCGGGCGATTGCCTACTGTTGTGGGCTATTGATGACCGCGTCGCTGAGTTTTTTTCTGTTTTGTTTTCAAACCGATGCAATGTGTTTGTGTGAATTTATGGGCCAACGACGCTAATTTGGTGTAAGATTTATTTGATATCATGATGCCAATGACCACATTGAATAACCCAAAAATTAAAAGTAAGCAGCCAGTCTTTTGTGGCACATAACAATGAAAATGAATACAGTTTTGTTTTGAGAATTTCAATCGAACAATCATGATATGCATGCATCCAATATTTATTGAATGTATTCAACTTTATCAAAATATTTCAATAAAATCATTCATCAAGTAGTTCTATTTGTTCGTTATCACGTACTTATTATCAAAGTGCTGTGAAATTTTCACCGGAATTGCTTCATTCAATTGGAATTGGGTCAATTCCAATGAATTTTGGTTGCGTGCGAAAATCACAACGAATTTGACAGTTGACACGGAATAACTGCTATTTCATTACAACTTTGTTGATAAGCCATCATTTACATTGAATACAATCTCCGGAGTCTTTACTTAATATATATTGCTCGAAATAAAAAAAAAGAGATACTATGAAATGATATCTTTATCGAAAAAAAAAGAGAATCGAAATCAAACCGATTCATATATATCTAATAATTCACTTTTCAATTTGCTTCACTCGATTTCTATCACAAAGAATTGTTCAGACAATGCCAAACAACAACAACAACTGATTTCAACCATTCAAAAAGAAAACAATTAAATCAAACATTGAATGAATACACACACACAGACACACAAAAAATTGGTGTAATATTCATTAAGTGGAGCATTTATAATAATAGGCAATATAGATATTTGTATCATGTGCGCGTAAGGCACTGAATAATTGAGTTAGTACATAAATTGAAATGTGAGAATGCGAATCGTAATATTTCATTTGACTTGAGTTTTGTCGATTTATTTATGATCATGATGTGTTTGTTTGTGTGCGAGGGAGATAGAGAAAATCAATGATCAGTTTATTTACGTGCTGTATTTCATCGAGATTTATTCGTGCAATTATTATATTCTTTCGATTGAAAATGAATTGGCAGCAATCGCATCATCGTTTTTTTTTTTTTGTGATCCAGAAAATCAATGGCGCACACAAAATGCTTTGCGCATTGGAAAGGAAAGCATCGATTATTTCGTTTGAACTACCAATGCGTACCAAATTATCAATTACATTTGTTAAATTGGTCGGAATAAATGATGTTAAAACACGGCCCGCTGATGATGGCGATTCACACATTTGTTGTTCGGTGATATTTAGACATTTTGATGGTTGTCATTCGTCACTCACTTTACAGTTTAATTATTGAACGGTTTAATCAGCGTTAATTCAATTATCGCCTTTCGACACGGACAAATCGTAATTGAAAATTTTCTTTTAGTAATGCGATAAAATAAACATTGCATTAGCAAAATGTGATTCACAACAGTTCTGAAATTCTTGTGAACGAAAGGTTAATTCGGACAAACTTTGTAGCCGTCGGTGAACTGTGCCGACACAGCAACAACATCCATACCAAAAAACACTTATACGGTTCGCCATAAATAAAGCCAATAAAAAATTTCAACCAACAGCAAATGCTCACCCGATCTCTTGCATACTTTCCTTTTTTTTCCACGTCAATAATTCATTCGATATTTCGTTCGGGCGAAAAATTTGCATAAAAGTTCTTTGAGCCAATTCGTCTACCCGCTAACCATAAACACAAACAATGTAACGACAGCCTTGCCACATACACATACAAACACAGAACCAAATGCCAGCGACGTCGACGACAACAGCAGCAGCAACAATAACATCGAGCCAAAAATAACTACTTTCTCTGAAATGCGGAGCAACCACAATCAATGAAAAGCCATATTTCTGCTTATTTATTGGCTGAAAGCCATAAAAAAAATACCCCATATGGAAAAAGGGGAGCCGTCTGCAATCAAACTTTGGAAATAGAAGAATACGATAAGGAATTTATACCCTGCCTTGTTATGCGATAATTCTTTTTTACATTTTTGATGTTAACTACTTCGCTACCCCCGAAAAATAAAACACAACAACTTTGTATCAAAGTCTTTTTTTCAGTTCTATTTAACTTTTTTGTTTTGTTTTGTTGTCGAGTCAGAGTTTTTCGTAAAATTCCATTCAAAAAACTAAATTGGCCAATCAACGCAGTAGGTTTCATTACCTCATTCGCTGTGGTTCGAATTGACAAAAGCCAAAGTAATGTATTTTGTAATATTTGTAGGCAAATGAACAAAAAAAAAAAGAGAGCGAAATGAGTCAATAAAAAAGCACTGAGAAGGGATCGCTATTGAATATAGTCGCATATGCGTTAATTTGCATACACACAAGTATGTTGGAGATCCCATAAAATCGGCCAAATGCATTTGATGTGCGTTGTGTTTGGTTTACGCTTTGTGATTATTCGTATAATTTGCAGTTGGCGCTGAATAAATGGACGCTGATTTAATTTTAATTTGAACCCAAATCAAGCTAACCTATTTTCTTTCGTGTTTGTGCGTGTGTGTTTTGTGATCAACTTTCCATATGCTAATTCGATTACATAATATATCGTCCAATGTTTTGAGCAACATGCAGATGCGAATTAAATCAAAGGCCAACAAAAGAGACATGGCGAATTCTCCTCACTTTGTCTATTCAATTTTCGTTTTTTTTTGTTCACACACCATCCAGATGGTAATGTCTCAATATGCTACGCCAGTCAAACCTCGTGGCGACAAATGAACTAGCAGCAAGTTTATTGAACTTTTAGTGACCAACAGTGATTATATGCAATTGTTTGCGTTTTTTTTTCTCTAGCAATTTAATAAATCATCGTCAATTTCACCATTGTATTTCTATTATCTCAATACTGGAATCAACATATGACACGCATTTTTTTTTCGCGGGAAATCATTTCAAATTATCGAAATATCCGTTCATATTTTTTTCACTCTCTGTCTCGCTAAACTATAGAATTCGTTTGAAAAATGAAATTGTGTATTTTTCTAGGAAATACTCAACATAATGGAATTGATTAATATCGTTGGGCGGCTCAAAATTGGTCTTTGTGTCGCCGATCTGTCGAATTGATATTTATTTGTATGTACTATTTTCGTTTGATGAGTTAACATACGATATTTGTTTCTATTTCAGGCTCTAAATGGGTTTCTCATGATATTGACCTGCGATGGCGAAGTATTCTTTGCTACTCACAGCATCGAAAGTTACTTGGGTTTTCATCAGGTGAGTTCTAAATGCTAGAACAACGAATTGAATCATTACAATTTAAATATAGCAATAAAGGGAATGCAATTTTAATGGACTTGATTCATTGCAACTGGAAATTGAATGAGTTTCATACAGATGCGATATTGATGATCTAGTTTGATTCAAAATGAATTGCTTCGAATTATTTTCCGACTTACAGAATCAATTACAATCTAGATAAAAATGACTGGGCGTCGAAAGACAAAAGTTCTGTGGATTTTTCCATTTTTAATTAGTTTTCTTCCTCGACGAGGACGACGACGACGGCAAGAATTCATTTAGCCAACTTTTGGTGCAAGAAAAAAAGAAGGTGCGCGAGGAAAGAAGCAGTCAGAGAGAAAGCAAATATGAAATGCAAATAAATCGGATGGCTGAAGATTTATTCGTGCACGTGTAGTTCGAATTGAGTTAGGCGTGCTGAGACAAATTTCGTACAAGGCGAACGAATTTAAAAAAAAAAACAAGTAAACAGAAACAGAATGGAAAACGGCTCGTTCTATCCAGTAGATGGGCCCGAAAGTTTGTTCTGCATACAACTCAATTTAGTTGTAATCGATTTGCTTGTTTGCATGAAAATGATAAACGGTGTTTGCAGTACACTTTGGGATCGACCGAGATTTAACTTTAAGACGAAATGGATCTTTCTGCAGGACCATTAAGCTAACTGCCGCAAATTTGCAGTCACACACAGAATGCACCGTGCACACGAGTACATTGAATTTCCACTGGGCTACAGTCAACGGCGAACACAGAAAAGCAAATGAACAGCAAGGCGTAACGATCACCAAACGAATGGCGCTGTATGCATCTGTGTAGTAATTGTCGATAATTTATGACTCGATCATGTGGTCCCATCAATGACTTTTGCATTTTACATACGTAGTATGCATCCAGTACAAACGGCAAACCCGAAATTCACACAATGATACGAGCATCCTGCTGCGTATCGTCTGCTTTATCTTGTTAACGATTTTCAGCGTTTTGCTCTTCGTTTCATTGAAATTGCATTTTTAGACGATTTATTCGTTGTAATGTTAATTCGAATATAAGTTGCGATCTGAATTCTTATTGAAAATTTTATGAACAACATTCAATTTTATGGTATTTTAAAATGTGTCTCTTCTCGTTTTGTTTCGTTTCAGTCGGACATTGTGCACCAGTCGGTAAGCACTTTGATTAACACTAACAACAAACTGTATACGATTTCAAAGAATTTTTCTCTTTCAGGTGTATGAGCTGGTCCATTCGGAGGATCGTGAAGAATTACAGCGACAATTGTTATGGAATTCATTTCTTCCAGCTGATGCAGCTGGAATGCCATTGAATGAAGCATTATCACCTGATAAATCGGTCTATTTGGAGCGCAGTTTTACCGTACGCTTTCGATGTTTGCTTGACAATACGTCGGGATTTTTGCGTTTGGATATACGTGGTCGTGTTAAGATTTTGCACGGGCAAAATCGCAAAACCGAAGAACCTCCATTAGGATTATTTGCATACTGCACACCATTTGGCCCCCCTAGTTTGATGGAAAGTATACCTCAGAAGGAGAATATGTTTAAATCAAAGCACAAACTCGATTTGTCACTTGTGTCGATGGATCAACGCGGCAAAATGATTCTAGGTTATTCAGACGGTGAATTGGCCACAATGGGCGGCTATAGTTTAGTGCATTTTGATGATTTGGCTTATGTTGCTAGCGCACATCAAGAACGTATGTTTCAGTTTTCTGTATAAATCGCTTTTAATGGATGGTCTTGATCGAATTGAAATAAATAATAATTAACGTATTTTATCGCATTTTGTGTTACAGTTCTAAAAACGGGCGCCTCTGGCATGATTGCATATCGATACCAAAAGAAGGACGGAGAATGGCAATGGCTTCAGACCAGCTCTCGACTAGTTTACAAGAATTCAAAACCAGACTTTGTTATCAGCACACACCGCCAATTGATGGAAGAAGAAGGAAAGGACTTATTGGGGAAACGCACCATGGACTTTAAGGTTTGTAACCAGAATACTCGACTTTTCAATAATTTGGCTTCAATTATTCTCAAACACATCTACAGAATAATTTTAATCAACAATTTTTAATTTAAAAAAAAAAACAGGTTAGTTATTTGGATACTGGATTGGCTTCGACTTACTTCTCGGAGGCGGATCAGTTGGTTATGCCATCGAGTGGATCACCAAACTCTTTATCTCAAACATCGGCAGCAACGCCGCAAAGGCCTGCGAGACGGTATAAAACTCAATTACGTGATTTTCTATCGACATGTCGATCGAAGCGTAAACTCCAGCAAGCACAGCCACAGCATCAATCGAATTCAAATATGGGCCAAGTGAGTTGACATGGGAAAACGCATTTTTTTTTTTTTTATTAAAAATTGACTGAATGATTTTATTTTTCCATACGTAGATAACTCCTCCAACACCAGTGGTGGAATATATACCAGATGCGGCTGCGATCTCGGCCGCCTACACAAATCTAAATCCGATGTATGCAACGTCACCGTATCCATCATCGACGGACAATCTGTATATGACTCCTTCGGTGCATTCATCGAATTTTTATCCAGTCACAGAGAATTTATATCATCAATATCGCTTGCAAGGTGTGAGCGGTTACTATCCGGGTGACTATCACCATTCATCGGTGCCAACGTCATACGTAGCAAACGGATTTTTGCCGTACGACAGCTATGGCATCTCAACCAAAGAAGAAAAATGGCAAGATGGCGGAAAATATTATCCAGGTCATGATGTAACTAGTCGTAGCATGTACTCGGAGTATGGCAGCCCAACAGGTCATTCACAGGTTTGAATTTGAATAATGCTGGAATTGCTCGAACCATTCAGCAAGGCTTGAACTCATATTTTCTATTTCAGATTATCCAATCAACATTGAAAACACCTAAAGCATCGCCACCGAACATGGATCCCGTTTCCTGTTCACCAGGCAATCACTCGCCAGCGCACAGCGCTAACAGCACCAACAACAATAATAATAGCCGAAATGATGCTGGTGAGTTTTCTCTTTGAAAATCTCTTTGTCCACCACTCGTCCTCACGATGGAAATCAGAACTTTTGGGGGGAAAATAGTAAGATCATTTGTATGTTTCAGGTGTCCTAACATCAAACAATGTTACCAATTCTTCCAATGCAAACGTTACCAACGGATCGAATTCGAATAGCAATAGCACATTGGCAGTCACACCGAAAATGGAACCATCGCCACCAACAGAGCATTATGAGAGGCAAACCGTTTTAATGTGGGGTACATCGAGCCATAATAATTCCACGAATCGTTCACCTTCGGCATCTACGCCCACTTCAAATGGACTCTATCCAACGGAAAACAGTCACATGAAACTATCTAATCAGATAGTGTTGTCGCCAAGCGAACAACAGCAGCATTCGCATCATAATTCGTCGCAATCTGGCGGTCATATGAAGTGGTCAGAAGGTGGATCGACAAAGGAAATACCTGTAAGTGCCGGCGTTCCACTTTATCAGATCCATTCGCATCAAACCGACTCGGCATCGGCCGCAGTTGATGCTTCATCCATGTATGCACACGTAGCACATTCTCCGCACCTAACACATCACTCGTCTTCGTCGGTGGCTGCATCAAGCGGTGGTCACATTGTGTCGCCCGAGCACAGTAGCGCTACACCGTCGCAAAACCATCAACATGTGACACAGCAAACGATTGGCAGTAGTTGCGAGGTATGGAGTCCTGCCTACTCGCAATACCAATATTTCACTTATCACCCAGCTCCACAGCACGCAAACACTCAGTGAGTGTCAAGAATTTTTGTTTTGTTTATTACGCCTCTCAGTCTGTCTGTCTATCTCTTTCTCTACCATTGTCTATCTTTGTTTTTATCTATATTTTGTGTTACTTTGATTTTAGTCACACTTTCACGATTTTTTCTTGTTAGCGTTTGTGATTAATTTACATTGACCAGCAAAATATTCACGAAACTAGCGTTTTTTCATGTGTGATTTCACTATTGTTCTATTTGTAAAACATTAGCACTAATTAGCTTGTCTTGTTTTTCGTGTCATTTGATGATTTGTTCTGATGGGTTTTAAATTCAAAATCAGGTCATCATCGATGTTGGTCGATACCAACCAATCACATTGTCCATCGCGCAGCAACGGTTACATGGATCATCCTGCAGTCCACCACCATCATCAACAGCACGGCACCATATCGCCAATCTCACAGCTCACACAGCTGTCGCATACCCAGTTGTAAGTTCACAACACATCCAACCCAATGCTTATTAAGCCACACACAACACACACAAATGTATACAGAAAAATTGATTTGCTCACATTTGCACCATTTTTATTGCAGCCATCCAACGCGTACATCGATCACGCGAACGGGAGTCCTTTGCTGTCCCTCTCTGAGGTGACAAACACAATGACACTTTTAAATCAATAGACATGCAATATTGTGGACCGGTGAACGATCAACAATGCTAATGCACCACGTTGGAATTCCGAATTCGGAACGCAATACACTATTTATCATCCCAATTGTGAAAGGAAGAAGTAATCATCATGTTTTTTGTTTGTTAGAAAATTAAGCGAAATTGCAAGAAAATCCATTCTATTGGTACAGTTTAATGGGAATCCCAGTTTGTTTTTCTAAGTAATCCTTTTCGTGTGCAATTGTGTATCTAACATTTTAAAAATTAATTACTAGGATTATTGTAATGTAACATGTACGCATAAATTTTTTCCCTCATTCACGCATCCTCTTATCAAACATGAACACTAAATTATTATATGAGAAAAGAGAGAAAGAGAGATGTTCGCAAACCTAAGCACAATCATAGAACCAAAAGGAGGACACACAACACAACCACACAAAATCTCAACGTTTATTCAATGAAAAGATCCTTTTCAAATTACTTCTTTGAAGAAGAAAATTTCGGATTGTTATAAATAAATCAAAAACATCTTTGAAACTTACATTGATACATGATTTTTTTTTTGTAAAATAAACTCCAAATCGAGAGAGAAAAAATTGATATTCCAATTGCTACGTTAAATCACTTGGATTTGAAACATGTACTAAAATCGACATCGGCACTTTTTCAGAAAAATATTGTAAGATTCTACTATTTATTAGCTAAGCTAAGAACTTTATTGTAATTCAATGCGAAACGAAACATTAATTTTGATTGTCTAAAAAAAAATTACTATTTAAAATCAATGCATGAATGAAAAAAAATTTCCCTTTAGATAAATTATCCGAAAACAGTGTACATATTTTAAATGAAATTAGCCGCCAATATTACTATTATCAAAAACATCATGCGATCATCATTTAATAACTGTGTTTCTGTCTCAGCATAAAAAATATATATAGTATATATAGACATAGCCGCCCCTCAGAAGAATGAAACAAAACGAAAGCAACATATCCCGACATAATGAAAAAGATAGAGAGAGAAAGAAATGAAACAGTATTTTATTTTTAATGACCCCAAAAAATGAAATATGAAATGTAATACATTATTATAATTTTTCTTTTCTGTGATAACCAAAAATACGACATACAACTGAAATATAAACCACACGAGACAACAACCATAGAATTATTGACCATAGTCCATATACTATAAAACAAATAGCGCAAAAGTGATTGACTTGATGTTTTAGTTTCTTTGCGCGATTTACTCTCCCCCCCCCCTTTTTTCGTTTGGAAAACTGATATCATTCAATGACACAAATACATCCAATACCGATTGCCATAAACTGATATTTTCACGTTGCCAATTTTATATACCACAATCAAGCTGCGATTTCGACAAAGCGCAAAGAGAATTATAAACTCAATGTCAACTCACTCGAATTGAAATTTTATCACACACACACACACACACACACACACACATATATAGTGAGAAATATACAAAAGAAAACAATAGCTAAGTCATTGAATAAACCCTGATGCATTTCATCCATTCGTCGAGATGATAAACAATAAATTACTACTGGATTTCTCCGCATTTGCTATCCAAATACACACAACTTTTAGATGAAATAAATGTTAATTTAAGAGAGAATGAAAAAAAAACGCCGCAAACTATACTAAATACATGTTGACTTATTATTGACTCTCGTTCATTCGTCGAAATTCACCAGAAACAAATATCAAAATGATCAAGTCAACTTGAACTATTTTTCAAAACGACACACAAACCCACACATACAATGTTAAACACTTCAATCGAATCAATTAAAAGAGAATAATATCAAAAACCAATGGAAAAACAACCTGAATGACATAACGAATACTAAGGCTCTGAAAGATCATGGTTTCGAAGGAACACAACAATGAAACTTTATATATATATCGATAAATCTAGTCCTTCTTGTGTATGTATAAACAATTAAATTAGTTTAAACAAATAATAACATTGTAATTTTTATTACATCTTTGAATTGAATTAATTAATAAAAAGTAACGCATATTACTACAATTAAATATATCCAAACATTTATTTATTTATATTTTTTTGATTTATTGATTTTCTTCTTATTTTCTATCATAAAGAATTTTGTATTTTCATTGTGACATACATGTTCGTTATTATTTTTTTTTAAACAGCCATTTGCTATTTGAACATTCTCGGCAACATGCGGATTATTCATTGGAATTATACAGTGTTGCCACATGAAGGACGAGTTCAAGAACAAAGTGCAGTTTGATGACAGTTCACATCAACCCCGTAAATGACAGCAGATTTGATTTAAAAGTATTCATCGTAACATATGAAGAAATAAAGAAACGATCAATCAGAGTTGAACCTTGACGTGAATATAACAAAAATTCGAAATTTTATTCAAAACGTGCCAAACATTTTATAATTGTCGAAATGAACTACAATTCGTTACCGTATAAAGTTGAATATTCTGTTGGTGAGCAGAATTGTAAAAAATGTGAGAAAAAGATTCGATCAGGAGCCTTGAAAATAGCCATTATGATGCAGGTAATAGAAAACAAGAGTTCACACAAAATAGAACATTAACATAGTTGGAAGATTTTTCAATGGAAATTCTATTGAAAAGTGTGAGTATACTTTGTATTGATGACATTCAATTTCTTGTAATATTTTCACTGTCCAGTCCGAAGACGACGACTGTCAATATCCCGTGTGGTATCATACGAAATGTTTCTTCAAAGTCCGTTTGCCACAAACCGAAGCCGCTTTTGATGGATTCGCTAAACTGCGCTATGCCGATCAACAGTCAATAAAAGTGCAACTAGGTACATTATCATCAATCCTTTTTTCGTAAGGAAAGTCTCTTTAAAGAACCATTTGTCATTATGTCAGGTAACGTTGAAAACGAATTGAAAACTGTTCAGAAAAAACAACAGGAGAAAGCAAAACTACCCGATTTTCATATCGAATACACAAGATCGGAACGAGATGCATGTACGGGATGTAAGCAAATGATTCGTGTGCCCGAACTGCGTGTAATGAATGTACAGTATGTAACCGATCTGACGGTTGAAAATTTTTCATTTGGTGGCAAGGCGACATGGTATCATATTCCATGTTTTGTTCGTTCAAGACATGATTTGGGGTGGTTAGAATCAGCTGAATCATTACCTGGATTCAAACGGCTTTCAGAAGATGATAAACAAATCGTTAAGAAACAAATTCCGTAAGTGTACTAAGCGTCTCAAAATTAAATATAAATTCATTTATTAGTTAATTGAGAAAAATTCGATTCGTAAATTAGGATTATAAAGCGAAAGTTCTATACGTCAACTGTCTGTGGTGATGCAAACTCGTCCGAGCTGGAAAAACTCATTGAAACTCAAAATCATGAATACTATACACTTTACGATAAATTGGCAAAGAACGTTTCCAAAAAAGAGCAAATTGAAATCTTGGAGAGAAACTCACAATTGGTGCCCAAAACTAAAACCGAGGTTAGATTAGGCTGACAAATTAATTCCTTAATCTACACGACTCCATTTGTTTCTCAACATGATTTTCCATTTAGATTCTTCATCAGTTGACCGATACTCTTTACTTCGGCGCGCTGCAATATTGTGCTAAATGCTACATAGGGACAATGTTTTTCAACAACACCACATATTCTTGTTCGAATTACACATGTTGGGGCAAATGCAATAACGACGTAAAAGAACCAAAACGACGTAGCGCTTATGTTGGTTATCAACTCCACAAAAAGTATCCATTTTTGCCAATATCATCACTTGTGCGCACTCGTGCATTACATCATTTTAGGTTTGAAGACGAAAATGGTGTTGATTTGGTGAATGTGTAAGTTGATCGACTGTGACTTTGCGTTTTTCGAGTCTCATAACTTTTTTTTTTTTTAAATTATTTTTAAGGTCATACAAAAATCCACCACTTTTCAATATGGAATTTACATTAATTGGTAAACTTAAAATGTCGCGCAAAGATATCGAGAGCCTAATTAAAAAGAGTGGAGGTCGTATTGTAAATGGAATCCATGATAAACTTGCTGCTGTAATTTCGAATCAAGAAGAAATTGAAAAGATGAGTTCGAAAATGACTGAGGCTAAAGCATGCAACGTTCAAGTAATTTCAGAAGATTTTTTATCCCAATTGGAGACTGTCGATCCGTTTAGCTACATTATCAGTTGTAGTCTGAGTGATTGGGGAGGAAATGTATGTTGAATCAATGAAGTTTTGAATAGACAATTTCATGGCATCTAAATTTAAATTTTCAGCCATATCTTCGTATCGAACAAAATGTTGTAAAGTCCAGGAGAGAAACAAATTACTATACAAAATCATTACCGGAAAAAATCACAATTAAATTGAATGCCAACAACGATCAAAATCTGGTTGATGCTGACAGCGGATTACAAGAGGAAGCCCATATTTACTGTGGCGAATGGAAAGGGAAGCAATTTAAGTACATCGTTGTTCTCGGCCTTGTTGACATTCAATATAATAGAAATTCATATTATCGGATGCAATTGTTAGAAGCAAATGACCTTAAAACGTATGTTGAATTTATTGTGATGGAATTGATCAACTCTGATTTTATCAAATAAAATCGTTTGTTTTTCATTCAAGGTATTGGATATTTGAGTCATGGGGAAGAATATCGACGGTAATTGGCAGCAAATTACTCACTGTCTATCCAACCGTAGAGGAAGCTCGTGCAAAATTCCATGCTCTTTACTTGGAGAAAAGTGGAAACGAATTTGGAAAATTAACTTATGGTTATGGTTACAAACAACCAAATAAATTTTACCATTTGCAAATCGACTTTGGTCTGACACAACAGATGCCCAAGAAGTATATTGAAACGAAACTGAGTCCGTCCATCTATCAGCTCATGTCATTGATTTTTGATACGAAGCATATGAAACAGATGTGCTGTGACCTTGACCTCAAGCAAATGCCGTTAGGTAATATTGATTCGAATCAGATTCACTCGGCGATGGGGGTTCTCAAGGTTATTGCCACATTAATCACCAATAACGGAACGCTTGGACAGCTCCGAGATGCCTCAAATCAGTTCTACACATTGTTACCACATGGATTTTCCGTTAAAAGGCCACCAATTATCGATTCCATCGACATGGTCAAGGCAAAGAATGAAATGTTGGAGAGTTTGCTCAACATGGGCGTAATCTATGGCTTTTTGGAAGGTGAAAATGGCGAAAAAACTAATCCATTAGACGCTTGCTACGAGAAGATGAAAACTGGAATCCATCCAATCGATAAAACTGCCATTGAATTTAGAAAAATCTGTGAAATTGTACGTAATACGCACGGGGCATCACATAATTTATATACTCTGGAAGTGATTGACGTGTTTAAAGTTAAGAGAAAACGAGAAGATATTCGTTCTCGTACATACAAACAACTTGAAAACCACCAAATGCTTTGGCATGGCTCTGGTGTGACCAACTTTGTTAGTATTCTGTCCAAAGGCCTGCGAATCGCACCAAAAGAGGCTCCGTCCACCGGCTTTATGTTCGGCAAGGGAATTTACTTCGCGGATATTGTCAGTAAATCAGCAAATTATTGTCATCCAACCTACGGAGATAACATTGGTTTGATGCTGTTGTGTGATGTTGCATTAGGAAAAAGTCGGAATCCAAAATACGCAGCAAATTTGAAAGGTCTGCCGAATGAAATTGAACAGTCGGTTAAGGGTTGTGGCCAAACATTTCCAACCGAATATTCAACGCTTGATGGTGTGAAAGTAGCAGTTGGTGGTCTTCAAAAAGCCGATTTTCCCACAGCTCTACAGTACAACGAATACGTTGTTTACGATATTTCACAAGTGAAAATGAAATACTTGGTCAAATTAAAATTTAACTACAAAAAATGAACAAATAGATAGTCAATTGTCAATTGTCAATTTAATTTCCAAAAATAAAAATCGTTGAATTAACGAAATTATCGCATTTGAATTCAATTCCCATTCGTACTACGAACCAACCGTGTTTCCCGATGCAACGAAAACAATTCTGTCAAGCGCCAAATTGTAGGCAACCTGTTAACATATTGAACATAAACAAAGTTTGACAGTTCACCGCGTTCAAATGCATGACAGCAAACAGATAATAACAGTATTATAAATGAGTGTTTGCTGAACGCACGTACTAACCAGTCATAGATTCGTCAACACACAAACGACATGCTTTTTATAGACTGCAAACATTTGTGTTTGTGATTATAGCTTTGTAATGCTCGTTTCCGACGAATTGTTCGTTCCAACAATCTGAATTTTTGTGATAGCCAAATGAAAAAGTGCCAAATATGAACAATTCACTACCGTACAAAGTTCTTTATTCTCCCGGTGATACATGCTGTAAAAAATGTACCAAAATCATTCAACCCAATCGATTGCAAATGGCAATTATGATTCAGGTAATTCATATTCCTCGGAAACATAAAAATTCTTGAATTTGACCAATAAAAATTTTAATTAAATTTCAATAACCAAATATCAATTTCAACTGCTTCAGTAGCACCGAATTGCAAAATATTGTGAAATTCATATTCGATCATAACCTTTCATTTGCTAATCAAACTTTTTCCACTTCATTTCATTTGTTTTGGTTTCGTTTGATTTAGTCGGATGACGACGATTGTCATTTTCCAGAATGGTATCATATGAAGTGTTTCTTCAAGACGTGTCTACCTCGAACAGAAGCCGCATTTGACGGTTTTGCCAATCTACGCTACGAACATCAACTCGCGATAAAAGTGCATTTAGGTTAGGATGCGTAAAATGTATTTTGTCGGCGTCATTTTTCAATTCATTCGTTTACTCTTTCAGGCACATTGGAAATCGAACCGGAAATTGAAACCATTCGAACACCAAAGTTACCCGATTTTGGCATTGAATATGCGAAAAAAGAACAAGATTCATGCGCAGCATGCCAACAAAAAATCAAAAAAGATGAAATACGCATAATGAACGTTGCCTACGACATAAGTCGGAATACAGCATATGATGGCAGAGCAATGTGGTATCATGTGATATGTTTTGTGGGAGTAAGAACTGAACTCGGTTGGCTACAATCCGCCGAATCACTGCCTGGCTTCAAACGACTGTCCGAAGAGGACAAAGAAATTGTGAACAACCAAATACCGTAAGTTTGCTACACACAATTTGTGCTATTTTCAATGAAAGTCGATTCAGTAAGTTGAACAAACAAATTAAAATGTTTCTTTTTTTTTTTCTTCGACACAATGGAATGTAGTATGATCAGTCGAGAACTGTATAAGCCCACCGAAACCAGAACCAATCCAAATCAAGTTGATTTAGAGAAGCTCATTGAAGTTCAAAATAATGAATACTACGAGCTATACGATAACCTTGCCAAGTACGTTTCAGATGAAGATCAAATCCTTATGCTGCGTGCCAACATCCAAATGATACCAAACTCCAGAACTGAGGTTGGTGGTAATTGTACCAATTGCTAAAAAATTCTTTGGATTTTTTTTTTCTTTCGATTATTCAACTGATTCGTTTTCTTTTCATGCGCAGCTTCTACATCATTTGACTGATGTCATTTATTTTGGCGCGCTAAACCCATGTGAAAGCTGCGGAACAGGCGAATTGATTTTTGTCAATTCCACATATGTGTGTTCGCACATCTCAGCTTGGTCCAAATGCAGCAATGACGTGAAAGAACCACAACGACGTAGCACAGTTATAGCCGATCATTTGCTGGCCAAGTATCCGTTCCTGAAAACCGATCAACCCGTTCGTACGCGAGCACTGCATTCTTTTCGCCTGACCGATGAAAATGGTCAAGATTTGGTTCATACGTAAGTTGTCTTCTCATCATCTATTCGTAATTGAAATTATTTTTACAAAAACAAAAAATTGTAACCGATTTCCACAGGCCATACCGGCATCCACCACTATTCAATATGGAATTTGCCCTGGTCGGCAACTTGGGAAAACCAGAACAAGAAATTGAGAAATCAATTCGAAAACTTGGAGGTAAAGTGGTGTCAATAATTCATGACAAACTGGCCGCAGTCATCTCGAACCCACAGGAAGTTAAAAAAATGGGATTTCAAATGGTTCAGGCAAAAAAATACAATATTCAAGTGATCTCCGTTGAGTTTTTGTCTGAGGCAGTTGTGGCCGATCCAATGCTATACATAATTAGCCGAAGTCTAACCGATTGGGGTGGAGATGTAAGTAGTATCTATTTGGGTACTTCCTATCATTTTGGAGATGATAATTTTCATTCGTTCTGCTTCAGCCGTATGCTCGTATCGAACAAAGTGATGTGGTTTCTAGACGAGATGCGGAATTTTACACGAAATCACTACCTGACAAAATGACCTACAAATGGAAAGGTAAAGTGAAATTTATCAACACATAAAATGCGAACCACGAAAACTAATGCAATCTAATGTTATCATTACAGACGGTTGCGCCGTCGATCCCGAGTGTGGTTTGGAGGATAATGCTCACGTATACAGCCAATCAATGAACGGAAGACGAGTGAAATTCTCGGTGATTTTGGGGCTCGTTGACATTGAAAATGACAAGAATTCCTATTATCGTATCCAGTTACTGGAATCTAACGAACTAAAATTGTGAGTAATTCGATTGGCAAATGCACATGGATTTTGCGTTTAAATTTTACTTTTACTTTTACTTCTTCTTCTTCTTCAATGAGGTATTGGATATTTGAATCATGGGGTCGTATATCCACTTGCATTGGCTCAAAGCGCCTCACAAATTATGGCCGGCTAAAAGATGCCATTGAACGTTTCAAGGTGCTGTTCAAGGAGAAAACGGGGAATAATTTTGGAAACATAAGATTCATCAAGCGCACCGGTCATTATTACCATCTTGACATTGAATTTGGCCCATCCAAACAGGCATTGGATACAATGATTCAAAGCAAATTGAGGCTACCCGTCTATCAGCTAATGCAAATGCTTTTCGATCTTAAGCAAATGGAAAACATGATGGTGAGCGAACATTTTACGTCTCGGTATTATGCACAGTGGTAATGCGTTGAAATTGGCAGATTTGTTGACAAATAACGGTATTGTTTACCGTTTTGTTTCATCAAACAAAACAAAAATCTTCATGAAGAATTGTATTGGCATAGCATTTGCCATGTCAAAGTCATCAAACATTTCAGTTTCTAATATTTTCTAATATTCTCTAATTTATTGTATTAGATTCTAATTTACTAATCGTGTCTACCCCCTAGGTCAGCTGTGATCTTGATCTTAAGCAGATGCCACTAGGAAAAATCAGTGCGAATCAAATTCGATCAGCGATGACCGTGCTCAAGGAGATTTCGAAATTGATTTCGCGAAACGGAACGCTCGCCAAACTTCGAGAGGCTTCGAATAAGTAAGTGTAAAGAATTAATTAATTATTACACTTACTTATTAATTCTTACATTTTCTTACACTTTGCCAGGCTTTACACTTTGATACCCCACGGTTTTGGTGTTTCAAGGCCACCAATTATAGACTCCATCCAAACGGTGAATGAAAAGAATGAGTTGTTGGAGAGTTTACTCAACATGGAACTGATCTATGAATTTCTTGGTGGAAATAATGACAAATGTAATCCGCTTGACGCTTGTTATCTGAAATTGAAAGCCGACATCGAACCAGTCGAAAAGCACTCAGCCACATACATTGAAATTTATAATATTGTGCAGAACACTCACGGGGCCACCCACAATCAGTATACACTTGAAATCCTAGAACTTTTTAAAGTCACACGGGAAGGAGAAGACAACCGTTTTCAGGCATACAACAGTCTCACAAACCATCAGCTGCTCTGGCATGGATCGCGTCTCACAAATTACGTCAGCATTTTGTCGAGTGGATTGAAAATTGCCCCACCAGAAGCACCAGGTAAAATATTCTCCACACTTATGATGAATAATAAATAGAAGGCGTGCCTTAATAAGCTTAAATTATGTTAAATTCCATTTACAGTTACTGGCTATATGTTTGGGAAGGGAATTTATTTTGCTGATGTCATCAGTAAAGCGGCCAACTATTGCCTGACGAATCGAACCAATAACATTGGATTAATGTTACTATGCGAAGTTGCATTGGGGCAAACACAAGATCTTTATTTTGCAAATGGCAACATTACCGGACTCCCGAATCAGCAACAACAGTCCGTTCGAGCGTGTGGCGCTACATTTCCAACGAGGTATTCAATGGTCGACGGTGTGTATGTGGCATCAGGCAATCTGTGTCGAGCTCAATTCCCAACCGCTCTTCACTACAACGAATACGTAAGTCACTTGAATGAAGCATACTCGGAACATTGCTCATAATTTGTTTTTTCTTCGCCATTTTAGGTCGTCTATGACCCAGCACAAGTGAAAATCAAGTATTTGGCCAAAATGAAGTTCAATCACAAATAAGCAGACAGGATTTAAGTTTCGATATATCTCAGCGTATTAATCATTTCGTATTCCAATTTTTTCTATATATTTTCGGTGAAAACGATATAATTATAGTTTTATTTAATAGCAAGTAAGATGAACCAATAATCTCCAAGGAAGAAATATTTTTGTACTCGTTTTATAGACATTTCTGTGTTGAATCGAGGATACTTATCATGATCTGAAAAAAAAAATCTACTCTCTATATTCGTATTAAGATTAACCAAACCATGTATTACGTGAGAAGATGTGTCCGAAAAGAAATTTTATATGTTTCACACGAAACGAGTAAAATCAAGCAGTTAATTTTTGTTCGTGTTGAGAAGCAATCATGATCAAAACCATTGGGTAGTAGTAGGTAGTAATTATCATTATTAAGAGATATTATTGAATATATGTTAGTCAATCGTGAATTTATTAAAAATGAAGTCTATTTAAAAAATAAATAAATACGCAACCATTACTGGTGTTCTTGACCGAATCGTGAATGGGTATTATTTTGAGTCTTGTGACCATTTAAATAGTATGTACGTGTGCAAATGAGAATTTATTGAAGGCACGTGCTGCAAGAATACACCGTTAAGAACACCGAAAGCGGTTTTTATTTTAAGCAAACATTTCCGACTTGAAGGATTTATTTCAGATGATGGTGTAAACGTAGGTAAGTTACAATAAACTTATTCCTAAAGTTTTTTTTCTTTGGAGTCTTCTGCGAAGTTTGAGTGAATGTAAAAGATATTCATAATATATAAATGCTCACCATTTACACGTCACACAATGAATGGTGCACACGTACAAATATGCTCAAACTAAATGTTTAATTTAGATATTTCTTGCTCGCATTTCGACTCCCATCATTGTTTCAACAGTGTACGTGCTTCGATGAGATGAGAAGAAAAAAAAAACCGAATCGTGAGCGTTTCAAACGATTGTAACAAAACTACTCATTGTTTTAGACCACATGATGATGAACGGTATATATAATAGGTATCTAATGAAAACAAAAGACGAAATCGATAGGCGCTAAAGCATATGACTCCAGACAAAAACTCCGATTATATCAATATTTGGAAATAGTTATTTTGGTACAGAGACAACATTTATCTAATTTTATCGATAAGATAAAACATTGAATTTTTTTTTCCAAAATTCAGTTTACTGTTTGTGAAAGAAAAATGGCTGTTCGTTCGAAAGATTCCGTTCGTATTGGAAGGCAGTAAGAAAATATTCGAATGAAAGTACGGTTTGCAGCCGAGAGTGCTTTAGTCTAGCAGCAACCAACGGTGCGGATAGATCGTTGTGCGGGTCATGACAATATACAAGACACACGGCAAATAAAAGTCTACGGAATAATTATCCAATATTGAAATAATCGTATTTTTCAGTTTCTTTTCATTGTATATACGACACCACGGTGTGTCGATTCAGAATTCCGAACAATCGAATGTTGATCAAATGGACAGGCTGGATGTTTTGTTGCGCATTTTGTAATTAGCATTTTATTCAATGATTCGTTTCTTGAAAACGGTTGAAACAAAAAGGTGAAATATTGACATATGTTAAAATCAATGGCATGAAACAAAAAAATTGTGCATTTTTGAGACAAAAATTGTCAATCGATCAATAAAAATAAATTAGCAAATGATAATTTCAATTTTCGGCCCAGTGTGCTCTAAAGCGTTCACCACACTTAATGTTCGTCGCTCTCTCGGTGGTTTACGCATGTGTGATTTTAAAGACCGCGCGATCTGACTCAATAGAACATTGCTACATTTGCATAATTGTCAAGTTCAATAATTTTTTCAAGTGAACAAATAGAGAAACTAAATCTAGGTAGAAAAAAGCCTAAGTCAAAATTATTCACCATTGTATTTTAAGTTGATGTGCACATATTTACCAAAGGTGGTGATTCCTTCGTTGAATTTGCCTACATTTGATTGAAAAAATAAACATTCGAAAAGTATAACACCGCGGTCGATGCGCAGTGTCTTCAGTTCGATATAAATTCTGTGGCTTGACTGTGTGGTTCAAGTTGAACGTTTAGTTCGTTTTTAATTTAGAGAGTGTTCTCTGTGTACTCGATCTGATCAATTGAATCGGTGCGATTTATTTGAAGCAAGTGTAAACCACTTAATTCTTTTCCACATGGCAACAGCTCCGTCCACATTGCGCGTCGATCCTATCACAAAGGTTCTAGGCAATTTTGGAAAATGGCAACTCAGTGCAATGCTCATCATTTTTCTGTGCAAAGTTCCAACCTCATGGTTTATGGCAATTATATTGTTTACAGCACCCGCTCCAAATCCCGGTAATGCTCTGTCATTTCTTTCCAATTTATTATTGAATCTAGTGAAAGCGCCGTGATTTATTTCTAAAATATTATCAAACAGGTGATTTTTGGTGTACACCACCGCCAGAGCTGCCAACCGAATTGGTAGCCGATTGGATCGCCAGAGCCCATCCAATAAAAGTGGATCATCATAATCGCTCAAAAATGGACTATTGCGAAGTATTTACAGAGTTCTGGGAGAATCCACTAAAATACTTTGGACCAAATCACACAACAATTGTTACGAAAAATTTAAGCACGATAAAATGTACAAACTACACATTCAATCCAGATTATCATTCATTGGTGGCCGATTTCAATCTCATATGTGGTCGCGAACTTCTGCTGCCATTAAGTCAGTGTTTTCACATATTTGGTTTGCTTGTTGGTGGCATTATTGCCTATTTTATGCTGAAATAGTGAGTGTTAACCTAATTGCCCTGCTTAAACTGAATCTGCGCGTTTTTTCTGAATTAAAATTCATTTTTCCGTGCATTTTAGCATAAGCCCGAGAAATGTAATGATCATGGGTGTTTCGGCGCAAATAATTTTCGGGAATTTGGTTGGTGTTGTTAGGATATATGAGTTTCATGTACTTTTCCGTTGGCTCACCGCCGCTTCATGTGCACTAATGTACACATCTGGATCAATGATATGTACGTTTACGTTTACATTTCGAATCCATTGTTTTCATTCATTTTATCTTTTTTTTATTCCAAGTGTTTTGAAATGTTTCAGTTGTTGACATAATGAATAGTGAAGAATATTTTAATGAAAATATGTTTATTTCCAAAATAGTTGTTGACATCACAAGCGGGGCGGCAAAAACAATTACATCGCTAGTGTTCGAATTCTTTTGGTCGATTGGCCTAATTCTACTACCTATATTTAGTGTGTTTATTGAAGACTGGTGGAATCTGTACATTGCAATATCAATGCCGACAATTTGCTTGATTTTTTTGATCAAGTAACTATTCTCACATTACAAACTGAAGCAGAAAATGTAGAAAATATGTTTATTTCCAAAAATAGATACCTTCCGGACAGCCCAAGATGGTTGCTGCGCCACGGTCGAATCGAAGAAACACGACAAATCCTCATCGATGGTGGTAATAAAAACAAACGTCGAGTGCCAATCAATTTAGAGGAGCTATTGAAATCGGATTACAACACGGGGCAAGTAAAACACCTACAATTTGCTTAGTTCAATTTAATGACTAATTCTAATTTCTATATGCTCATTTCGTATTACAGAGCTGCGAATCCACCTGAGGCAAGTTGGTGTTCGATTTGGGACGGAAAACCAGCAAAAATTTATATATTGGCCATTCATTATGCGTGGTCGGTGTATGTGTTGAACTTCAACTGTGTCGTATTAAATATTCGCGCTTATGGCAGAGATCACCTTAGTATCAACACGGTTGCCATTGGTTTTAGTGAAATATTGGGTGTTTTTGTTGGAATATATTTTGTACTGTACACGTGTATGTATTTAGAGTATGCAACCTCAAATATTTGCATGGAACTCAGTCGCAATTTTTCTTCCATACAGCACGAAGATGGCTTTGGGCTGGTCTGTGTGGCATTGGATGCGGCATACTTGCGTACTTTACATGGCTTATTCCCGAGACATGTAAGCAAACAAACACAAAAGTGAAAGACAAACACCATTGTTTCGATTTAACTAAGGATTGTTTTTCTAAATATTGTCTTGTTATTTTTCTCTTCTTTTTTTTCTGCAGTGAAAGAGTCGCATGTGGTTGCTTTGGAGATGGCTCCAACGTTAGCAATCAAGACGGCCACGTCGATCGGTATGTGCGTGTTAATGGTGTGCACAGTTGAATTAGTGTGTGCCGAACGGAAGAAGATTCTAATGTTCTCGTCAACTGTTTGGGCACGGGCATGGTTTCTGTGGGCTCCCTTTATATTTGTACTCAAAACATATGACGTTGTCTTGCCGCTGACTATTTTTGCAACATTGAGTGTTGTCGGTGGCGTTTTGATGGTGTTCATTCATCAAAATCAATACAAAGCCTATTTGGAAGACTGTGAACAACGCATTCAAGCGATGAGAGCAGTGCGAACGATATCCAATGCCGGATTAGACTGGATCAAAAGTGTTCGCAGATCAAGTGTGTATGACATTGAAGAGGTTAGACGAAAGTCGGTGTATGACGCTGAAGAAACTCGAAGAAAGTCGATCGTCAATGATCAGGAACCCAACAGTCAGCGAATGTGATTTCTATTGCACTGTAGAAATTAAGAATTAAGTTAAGCAGTTCTTTCATAGTATTTATTTTTTAACAGCTGCCGGAAAGCTCAAAATATATCACACCATCAATGATTTCATAAAAACAAATGAATTCGTTTTATTGCTTTTCTTCAACTTTAATTTTCTGGTAAACTGCGGAAGAGGTTTAAACATCAACAGACGACCGTTCTGTTCGCTAATTATCATGATCGTAAAATTCAGTTGGGATTCAAATAACGCCGCCATTCAACAGAAAAAAAATTCAATTTAGTTGAGTACATTCCTCATCAGCGACACATCTTCGATATATACGACAAGTATTGATGATATTAGTGATTTATCATTATTTCACTGGTGCGAGTGTGTTGATAGCACGCAAGTCAATTAGAATCGATTAAGTTTTATTACTTTTTATTTTATTTCTGTCGTAAGTAAAACGCGGCCATTGTTTCGATGGAGTAACGAATCTGCAGTTCAGTTGACCGCCATCCTTCATCAAATGAACAACTTTGAATCAAATACTATTTATTCGTCGTCAACGTAAAGAGTAAGAGTGACACAAATGGAAAATCTTTGAATATTCATGTACTGCAGTGGAATAATACTCGCGATTCTTTTTCTCAAAGGAACCTCATATATGCCGATTAGCAATTATTGCCCAGGTAAACGATTCGACGTTAAAATGGTCAATAGCTAGTAGAGATACTATATAAATTTTGCTTTGATTTTCTTGCGATTTTGTTCGTTTCCCGTGAATACATAGATTATTTCGAATAGTCGCCAAATCGTTGTGGCGACATTTGTTTGTGCCATATGCTGCAAATGTAGGAAACAACTGTGAGCGTGATATATAAATAGGCATTTTTGGCGCGTGCGGAAGCTCATGCGAATTTTTACTGTGTTGCTATCAAATTCCCATACGCTCGCAGTTTGTGTCGTCAAATCGTAGTGAGTCGTATGAATTTCGTCGACACGGTTTTATTGAATGAATTATCATCAATTACTTAAGCGATGACGTTTCCATTTGAAACGATATACTATGGTGCTATAGCTGTTTTATGATTGTAAACCTAATAGCATGCATACGTCATCATTTGAATTTCATCAGCACAAATCAGCTGAGGCAGTGTAGAATTTTCGCGTGCTTAGCTTACGATTTTTGGCTGCGTTCCAAATAAACGATAATTTACATGCAATTGAAATGGTTTCGATCATTTCTCACTTGTTTTGAACCCTTTTTTTGTCGAATTTCCCCAGGAATCGGAAATTTCGGAAGCTATTAGACTTGCCTTCGTTATCGATGCAAAATCGCATTTCATATTCAAGTAATTAATTAACATTCATTTCCACATTCTACGCAGATCAAATGTACTGATACAGACAAACTTGTTGATTGTGATAAAAAAAAAAAAACAGAAACACGGTTTTAAACAAAATGATTGATTGAAAACGATTGCATTCGAAACATACTTCTTCGTTCTAATTTAACGGCACTTGCGCCGAATACAAATGATTACATTGACATTGAACTTTAAATTCAAAATATGAATAGAAAAAACATATCAGACACATTCGCGTGACTCGTAGCATGAGTGCACCCGACGACGCTGTCGGAAAAATGCGACAGACCGAATTTTATTGCTTCAAATTCTTGGACGTTTGAAAACTTCACGATGTATTCAAACGATGCGACGTTTGTCGCCAAAATTCATTAACTCAAGGCTAATGGCCTATATAACTATAAAACCGATGTTAATAGAATAAAGCTTGAGATTGTGTCGAGCTGTCGCTTGAGTTGAGCTTTTCATTCGAAAGGATTTGTATTTCGTTAAACAAATTAACGTTAATTGATTTAGTTTTTCAGAAGTTTTAAATCAAAACGGTGTAAGGAAGCAAGAAACTTGATGCTTATTGGATACAAAAAATTGAATTAGCGCTCAAATACTTTTTCGCAATCCATCGAATTTTTTTAGATCAAAGCTAGAACATTTGAAGCAAAGCATATGCCAAACATATACGAGAAAGCAAATTTGCAATGTAAAACCCAAAAAGATAAAAACAAAGAAGTCGTGGCTAGGGTGGGGAACATTAAATTTTGGTTCACATACAAATTTCGCCCGATTCCCAAATTCAATCATCGTAAAGTTTCGGGTTGTAAACTAAAATTAAATTCAAGCCGACGAACTATAAATTATAATTTTGGCAGCAACCCTTCTAGTCGACTCACGTTACTAGATTTGCGATGAGTTTTGTCTATCTCCACGAGAAACAAATTGACGATAGAAAATAGAAGCACTCATCGAAAAATCTAATTAATTTTCGCACCTCTTCAGCATTTCACTTTTTTATTTATCAGCACTTGAATCTTCAAACGACAATTATCCGCTGTGTTAAATCGGTTGAAATAATCACTTGAAAATACGAAGAATATTTTATAACAATTACCCCACGTGAAAATCAGATCTAAAATCAACGAATTTTACTACTTCGCTCTTATTAAAGCCATATTGATAAGGTGATATTCCATAATATTATCCAAAACGGCGGCAATAACAAACGACGATATCTCTGAATTGAAGGTAATTTGGAGTGAAGATTAAATTCATACAGATATTGAAAATTAGACGTGATTTTCAGCGAGATAATAATTCAAGTTCAGTGCTCTTCATTCACTGCATGAGACATGCCATCTGTAATGTGCTAACATGCATGATTAATTTAAGTGATCTAATTCTGTGAAGTTACTATTAGTTACAAAAGCCTATAGTAAAATGATGAGACTTTCGAAAAAGTTGATAAAAAAAAATCGCATTTCATTTTTTTCGGAATCTCAACGATTTTCAATTAATCCATTGAAAATTAACCGAAACGATTTGCATCAATTACGAAAAAAAATCGTAAATTCTTTTGAAGTTTACATCCGCATCGAGTATTTGTTTATTTATTTGCTAATTGCAATCATTTTAGAAGCTATAAATGCATGGAACCAGTGTTTGCGTGGCAAGCTGCGTGAAAAAGTTCAAATAGATTTGTGTGGAGTGTGCTGTATTGTATAGGCACAATATTCTTTTTATATTGCACATTCAAGTACAAGTACAAAGTGGGCAAAGCTAATGCAAAAAATAAATAAATCGTTAAATGATGCAGTACCCAATTCGAGTGACTATTTTATGTTTGTGTTCAACATTTTTGAATTACGATTTTGTCCGCAAATTGTAATCAATTGATTAAGTGAAATGAGATATTCTCATATGGAATGCGTTTGCCTATTATTTTCAATTTTTGTCTCGAAATTTCAGCCGTATTTTGGCTTCTATCAAATCATCTATGCATATATTAAGCATGCGCCTCACTCTTTTCCGCAACACAATTAACACAGATATAACAACGTTAAGCAATAAAAAGTCTAGTCAAATATCATGTGACCACGTGAGACTACCGACTATGTATGCAAAATTCTTTGATTTTGGCTAAGCAATTTCATGTGATTCGAATTCGAAAGAAAAAATAAAGCACACAGCAACGCCTATTATCGTCGTTATACTGAGCCACGTTCGGAGTGATTGCAGCAACCAAAACGAATGACCTATACTTCAATGCAAACAGATTACAGTGTTTGGAAAGAACACTTAAATCACGCAATATTTTTTTTTTGCTTAAAACGTTCCACAAAAGAATTTTAATACACCAGCAAATAAACGTTTATCTCTTGATCAATTAAAAGCAAGTAACGACCGACATTTTGCATTTTTGCAACGGAGAATACGGTGAGGCTGGTTTGGTGGGGGCAGCATGCATCGCCAAAGATCCAAATAAATTCATATTGCTTCTGGAGAAACGAATGAAATAAAAAAAATGCAAAGAAATCGAAATGCAAATAGCTTGGATGTTTTACATGCGTCGATTTTTCCTTATCTGTTTTTTTTTTTCAATTTTCCTCATAAAGTTAGTGAGAGCACTTTTACGAGGCAGTGAACTGGAATTCGCAACGTGAGAAATACATACGAATTATGTGCTCGACAGTTAATGGCGATTTACAATCGGAATCTACTGCATCGAAACCCAAATATTCGATAATTGATTTGATCGGCGAATGGGGACCATGGCAACGACGAACAGTCTTCCTTATATTTTTGTGCAAAATCCCAGCCGCTTGGTTTATGGCGTGTATCATTTTTACTGCTCCGTTTGCCAAATACGGTGAATTTTTTTGCCAGCAACCGAATACGGGATTAACACCAGCAAATCACACCGAATGGATAAACATTGCTCATCCTACGACGCAAGACGATCAATTCGACTTTTGCCGCGTTTATAAAAATCGATCGGAGGCACTTTTGGAATGGCAACAGCAGCAGCAGCAGCGACTAATTGTCTCAAGCACATCAGACACGCAAAATTGCGACACATTCGAACATTTTTCCGTGTTCGATTCCCTGGTCACACAATTCGATTTAATTTGCTCACGGACCATTCTGATTGCTGTGACACAATTCTTCCATTTGTGTGGAGTTCTCTGTGGAGGAATCCTAGCAACAAAATTACTTGATTTGTAAGAAGAAATTTTCCTTTTAATTGATATTCATTTATTATCGGAATTAACAATTGATTTCTATTCATTTTCAGCGTTAGCCCACGAAATGTCATGCTCATTGGAATGTTGACGCAAATTATTTCCGGGTGTTTAACTGGGCTCATCAACAATTTTAGTTTACACGTTTTCTTCCGATATTTGGCCGCTGTTTGCTGTGCTTTGATGTACACACCAGGTGTGGTGATCTGTAAGTGACATCATTGCATTTAAAGTGATTCATTTGACATGTGTAAAACTCTTTCGAGAAACAGGCTGTGTGGATTTTTCCACTTGAAACAAGTGACTGACCTGCAACCTAATGAAAAAAGATTTCAAATACGCCTTTAAGCCGGTCGATCTTTATTTATGTTTAAAATTCATCAGTGAAACTGGTTTTTCTTGTTGCCATCGCAATGAATATTGTGTGTGTCTTTTTGAAAAGAGTTTTACACCATTCATATATATATATAACCGATCTATTTTTACGTCTAATTGTGAAACATTTATTTCAGTTTCCGATATAACGGGTGGAAAATATCGAAAATCGGTGATCTGTTTATTTGAATCGTTCTGGGGCATTGGCGTCATATTGTTGCCGCTCATCGCAAACTTATTGCCATCATGGTCATGGACATCGATTTATCTTGCCATTTCGCTGCCGACCGTTGCATATATTTTAGTCTGGTTTTGGATTCCCGATTCGCCCAAATGGCTTCTTGCGCATGGTGAAATAAGTGCGGCAAAAAATTGCCTCTTCTATGCAATGCGAGTCAATAAACGAACTTCCCGTTTGCCATCGAATTTTGACAGTTTCCTTCAGCTCGAGGCGGTCACATATTCAAAGGCCCCAAAACCAGAGAACTGGACAACGTTGTGGTCGACGAAAACGCAAATCATCATGATGATTGCGTTGCACAGCGCTTGGGCCGTTGATGTAACAAATTATAATGGGATGCTTTTGAATATTCGCGTTTTTGGTCGAAATTATCTGATTATAAACACCGTTGTGTGTGGATGTTGTGAGATAATTGGTGTTCTAACTGCATGGTTTATCGTTATGAACGCTAACAACCACAAATTTCTATGTTCTGGCCTATTTAATGTGATTGCAGGTATTTTGAGTTTTCTCGGATTCACTTTTCCCAGCACACGTGAGTATCGTCGTACATTTTTCTCAATGAGAAACCAAACAAACATTCCAAATCCAGAATTTTCTGTTCATTCACCGTCCATTGTTTGTTTTTTATTTTTGTTACATCTAAAAACACATACGAAATAGTTTCGGAAACCACATACGTAGCGCTTGGTATGACATTGGCAATGATTTCAAAAATAGCAACAACTTGTTCGCAGGCAGTTTTATTTACGTGTACAAGTGAACTGGTGCCAACGACAAGGCAAAAAATATGCATGTTTTCGTGTGTGGTATGGGCACGCATATGGCTACTAACGGCACCGTTCGTTGGTGCTTTAACATTTGTGCATAATCTATTTCCGTTGGCTGCGTTCGGGCTAATTGAATTGTGTGGCGGCATTTGCTCCTGTGTCATCGATCGGATACACAACGCATCGTTGGCAAAAATCGACAAAAACGCAAATGAAGTATTTAAAGACAATCAAGGAGTTACAACGACCCATATGTGATTTTCTTTCACACGAGATTTCAATCGAAACGTTTAGATTTTAAGTCAACATAACATGGATTAGGTTAATCTGCTTTAATACTTTGATGATAATATTTGACTAATAAATTGACAATCAATTCATCTACAATTTCATATTTATCGTCTATGTGCATTTTCAATTCTCATAACTAATGTTTTCATGTGAGCTATGTCAAATGGTTGGATGTCTTAATGATCTAGCACAAAAAGTTTCCATTGAAACATGAGAAGAAGAAAGAACACCAAACTGCTAAATGAACCAAACACGCGTGCGAAAAGCGTCATCTGAAAGGTGCACGTGATACCGATTTGCCACTTAGTTCAATTATTGCATATAAATCAATTAGTGATCAATTTGATGGATGTTTACTAATGCAATGATAGGAGGTGGAATCTCAAACGGGATTTATTGGAATGATGCAATCGTTGAGACGTTTCAGTAGCTACGCAAATGGTCCGTGTGGATTCCACGAAGACCACAGACTTCTAATCATTTTTGGTTCCAACCACTAATTCTTTTAGTAATCTTTTAATATGAAGACATTCCAAGAATGACCGTTCGTGGTTCTCATTTCTTATGAAAGAGGAATGAATCATAATTTAAAATCCTGAAAAGAAATGTCGTCATAATTAATCGACTGAGAAGCGTCTCACAATCGAACGTAATTTAATTAGCAGTTGCCAATTTTCAAGTCTATCGAGCACAAATCAAATGAATTTCGACCGCATGATTGTGGGTGGTTTTGATTTAATTAATGATGTAAACATTTTTTTGCGCATCAACAAAGTCTTTGACTGTTTGCAGTGCAAGCTGTGCACAATAAGGTGCATCAAATTTTCACTTTGTCATTATATGTATTCAAATGGAATTTCAATATCGATCAGAATAATTTCTGTTTCCTCAGAACTAATAAAGCAGAACGTTTGATCCCATTCACAATCACTACACGTTTCTATTGTTGACTCTTTTAAAATTGTTTTCTTCAGCAAATATTTTCACAGCTTTACTTCGGCATGAATAAACATTTGAAGAAAAAGAAAATATCATTTCTTGAATGAATGGATTTTTCTATGCGCATAGTAACCATTAGAATATAGCCACCTTATTATCATTGTTACCTTATTTACCTTATTCACCACATTAATTCCGTTTGAAATGGGAAATTGTTGAAAATTGTTGTAAATTGGACGATTTCGCTAAGTGATTTAAATTAATAAGTTAAGATGTTTTATACGTGATTCAAGGACCGAATCCGCACCTGAAAGTCGTAATCATGACAATATGACACCATCTGCAATGGCGCAGCAAAACAGTTTTTTTTTTTCGGACAAAAGAGAACGGCAATAATATAGTCGATCAGACGTAACAATTCTTCATCGATATTGTTGTTTCCTTTGTGCTTTACTCCGCTTAATTAGTTACACAAACAAGTAAACCGTACTTAAATGGTGGGTAACGCTCACAGTCCCAACACTCGCAAAGCAATCTCGGTCGAAGTGAGCAGACACAGCGAACGTTGCTCGTTTCCGTTGCTTTTTTCTATCAGTGTATTTACTTTTACAAGTTTAGAAAAAAGAAATCAGAAAACCGACACTTTTCACTAACCCGATATCGCTTCAGTTGTTCTTTGTCAGTCGTACCGAATTGTAGACTCAAACCTGTGTGCTTCGTTCCTGTTTTAATTGTTAAAAGTGCTAGAAAGTTTATTGTTGCATTCTTTTTTAGTTGTTGTTGCACGATAATGCGTGTTTTGAAGTGATCGCTGCGCAAGGCTATCCTTTGATTTATGATACTCATCACATTTTCCGTTGAACAAAAAAAAAATCTAATCGCACTAAATGAGATTTGAAATCGAGAAAAAAGAACTCAAGAGAATTACAAAACAAAGAGAAAAATCTGTGGAAATAAATCGAAATTTTCATCTTGAAAATATAGGCGGATTCAGGCTGGAGGTCTGGTAATAGTGAATGTGATCTACTGAATACCGACCAACAAGCATCGTCTTCAACTCAATGCCCAATCGGAATCGAAAATCTTCAAAATCATCGGCCAACTGCTAATCGAAATTCGATGGAAAATCTAAATTGTAAAATCGAGAATGCGGACATAATCGGTCGCATCAATGGTGATTTCGGAAAATGGCAACTGCGAACCGTGCTATTGATTTTCCTGTGCAAAATACCATCGGCTTGGTTTATGGCTTGCATCATTTTTACAGCACCAGCACCAAGAGATGGAGAGTTTTTTTGTCATCCATCGTCAAAAGTTCTGAATACACGGACACAAGAAAAATTTGAACGAATGCTCGACTTCAACAAGACTGCATGGGTTCGGATGCTGCATCCAGTTCAAATCGATGGGGGTGGATTTGAAAAAATCGATTTTTGCAACATTTATTCCGATAGTCATCAAGTGTCCGAACAATACTTTCACTCAATTTCGCAGATTACAGAAGATTGGAATACACCTGAGCGAAATGACAGTGAAATTGTGCCGTGTGATCGATTTTATCATCATACCGATTATGTGTCGCTTGTAACCGATTACAATTTGGTTTGTTCGAAAGATATTTTGATTTCAAGCACTCAATCCTTTCACCTATTTGGTGTTCTAACGGGAGGATTGGTCGCCACGTACTTATTAAAGCAGTAAGTGTTGCCACTTGACCGTTGTTGTATTTGGATCGATAATAATCATTGCAAAATTACTCATATTGACAATTCATTTGTTCAGCTTTAGTCCAAAAAGTGTCATGCTCTTTGGAATGATCACTCAAATTTTTTGCGGCAATATGACCGGTTTGGTGAACACATACGAATTGCATGTCTTTTTCCGATGTCTTTCGGCTATATGCTGCTGCCAGGTAAAATATAATCGATTACTAATAAAATACTATTAATATTTACATTATTCGATATACGTACGTGTTTTTATACTTGCTTTGAATAAATGAATAAAATATGATATATTGGTATGCATACATTAATATTTTACATCTCTCTCTCTCTCCCCCAATGTGTATAGATGTATACTGCGGGTTCTATGATATGTAAGTGATTCAGTTACATTGTATAATTTTTGTGCTTTTAAAATGAACGCTTCGTCCCGACAGTTTCTGACATAACATCTGGAAAGCCAAAAACAATCGTAACAACACTGTTTGAATCATTTTGGTCCGTTGGGGTGATTCTCCTGCCGGTTTTAGCCCGTTTCGTTCAAAGCTGGTCTCACCTTTATATGGCGATATCATGGCCTACCATAGTTTTAATCATTCTGTGGAGGTATGTTAAGTATTCGACAAAAACACAAATCAAAGTGAAATAGAACTTGGAAGATATTGATCAAAATAATAAACATTTCTAACCATATAGATGGATTCCAAATTCCCCTCGTTGGCTGGTCGCACGCGGTAGAATAGATGAAGCAAGAGATATCTTGATTGAATCGGCAATCGTGAACGATCGTAAGCATGTTTTACCATCAAATTTGGAGTATTTGCTGAGACAACAAGCGTACAATATGCAAAATGAACCACCGCCGGCTGGATGGTGGACGCTTTGGAAGGGGCCAAAAGCAATTCGACACATGATTTGTGTTCACATTTGTTGGTCAATCTACATCATCACTTATTACGGAATGCTACTGAACATTCGGGCCTACAGTCGAGAGCATTTAGAGATTAACACGATGATCGCAGGTACGAATCGGACAAAATATTCATTTTTAAAACTAAAAATTCTACGCATCTCTTTCATTTATCATTTATTTGAATAGGTTTATGTGAAATTCTTGGTGTGTTCTGTGGCCTTCTTCTAATTCTGTACACAAGACGAAAGTGGCTGTACACTGGATTATTCAATGTCATCGCAGGATTAATTGCGTATAGCGCATGGCTGATTCCTTTGGATAGTGAGTTAACCTTTTTTTTCATAAAACAATCCTTCACAAATCATTTCAGATGCAATTATCATTTACTAATTTTTCATTTATTCACATGTTCTTGAATATTTTCAGTGGAAACAGACTTGAGAGTAGTCCTATTGATGTGCTCATCGATGGTTTCCAAGATTGCCATCTCTTCAACGCTATCCATTTTAACAACATGCACCACTGAATTGGTTGGTAGCGAGAAAAAGAAAATCTGTGGATTTTCAACGATTGTCTACGCGAGAATGTGGTTACTTGGTGGTCCATTCATCGGTGCAACAATCGTTTATGGTCAATTAATTCCACAAACCGCATTCTCAACAATGTCCATAATCGGTGGAGTTATAAGCACATTAATAAGTAGTCCTCGTACCATAGCCACATCCGTCAAACATTCAAATCTTCCAAAAGAAATTTATCCAGAGATTTACACAATTAAAAATTTTGATAGTCTAAATACTGGCGACAAATGTAAAGTATAAGTGATGATTTTCGGTTCATATGCCGATTGTGTTACGATGAAACCAAAGTTTGTTACAAACGTACAAATGTTTCTCCAGCACCAGCTCTCACCAGCGATAATGGTTGAGAATATGAGCTGAGTCGTTCGACATTTGCTCCGTTGTGAGCCTACGAAGCGAATTGTGAATTGTACATGTTTCTCGGATTATTTATAAATGGATTATAAGAAGTTATCTAATTCTTATCGGCCGCAATACCTTAAGCACGACGTACGAAAACGATAACGGATTTCGTACAGTTCGTCGAAATACTTATCTGAATCTTTTTTTTATGAAGAGAAAATACCGAACCTATTATAGAGTCTAAATTCCATATCGATAGAATTTCATTTCTCTAAGAATAGTCCGAGAATATGAAGTTGCCCAAAATTTCCCTTTATTTGCATTCCGATTGCGAAACAAGAATTTAAAGCGTGATTGACAATTTTATGGGGGTTTTTGTGGCAAAATATGAAATTAGTTCTGATTTGGAATCTCCATTCTACCGCACTATTTATTTTCATGAAAAATGTGAAATGTGATAATCATTCAGATATAAGGGAATTTCAATAAAATATATGACAAAGTTTTATTTCTAAATAGAAGTTGTGTATTTAGTAGTTTGGGCATAATATGGAAAAATAGATTCCAACCTCTCCTCTACTTCGAAAAAAAAAATCCAATTTTCCAAGATCCTGGGTTTCTTGACGTTTTTTTGCCAATTTTCCGAATTTTCGAACAGATGGGCCTGGCGACCTCCAATCAACACCCCAGATATTAAAATTAGCCAAAACGCAAAAACAGTTAGATTAGATTTTGAGATAAACCACATTTCCTCTTTAGAAATCTTCGAAAATTCCGTATCTGAATGGCTCCAGGTGGGGAAAATCCAAGTGTTGTGTTTTCGCAACGCGGGGCCAAATGAGTTAATGATTTTCCATAGTACTAAAAGGCCTGAAAAGTGCACAGAGAAAACTGAGTTGATTTTTACGTAGCAAAATATTTGAAAATGTCAAATTCCAACACATGTTGAGTTTTTCGCAACGAATATTCTTTCCATATTGATTCAAGTATTTGTCACATTTGACACCAGCATACATCGTGTCTAATGAAAATTGGCGTCTAATTTGAAAATATGGATAGTAATATGGATTTTCAGTTGAAACCGTACTATAATTCGGAAATAAAGAATTTAGTGCTATGCAAAAATTCATTGCGATCGAACGACGTTAATATATTTTTCTGCTCCGTGGAAACATTTTTTGTGTGGTTTCGTCTTACTGACCCTTGCCCATGTACGTATTATTATGTATCTATACATTTGCTGTGAATAATGAATGAATAAAATGTGTCATCAAATATTTGATTCAATAAATTGAATTAATAAACTAAACACCATAAAAATGTTGCAAATAAGATGCGTGTTTATTTTCGGATTCAAATATGTTTAGGGTGCAAATCAATTTAAATTTATTAGGTTTTTCCACAGGGAAGCCTAGGGGGTAGACAACAGGACGAAAAAGGTAAATTTAGCTATTCTAATCTTTATGAATTTGTCAAAGTGACAGATTGAAAATACAATGTGATCAAACAAAATCACTATCAGTTAAAACATGACTTTCCAAATCTCCATGGATCTCTACACTATTTCGATACATTTAATTTTTTTCAAATCTTTAATCCCATTTCTAACCTATAGATAAAAGCAGTTTCGCTAATCATAATAATTCGTCACGGCAAACACATTTTGATTGATCGCATTCGAATTCATTAAAAATCGGATCTGAATAAAACCATTCTAAGCTTGTTGGGCTGATCTTTACATGGGTCCATAGTCTCTTTCAAAAAAATGTCACGAACTATAAAATATAAAGTGTAAAGAGAATTATACAAATTGAGTATGCTATGTTATAAATGTAATGAAAATAATTTACCGTAGAATAAGGTGAACAAGTAGAATATGGCTCCACTGTGATCTTTTATATTCTCCATTTGCATCATTTGGAGCTTTTCAGGAAAATAGACAATCATAGAGAGATTACAAATACCAAAAGCCATATAAAACACAAAAAAATATTTGAAATATTCATAATCACGTTTTTTGACAAAGTTTATCAATCTATTTTGTTTTTTAGATTCTTCGCCAACTAATGTGTGGTAAGCACATAAGACGTCTGTAAGAATTAAAATTTGTAGCATTAATTTTAGTTAATAAAGTTCTGCAACTTTCAAATACTTACTCTGAAAACAAATAAAACCGGTAATACGATGAAACTCATTCGCAGTCTCTAATTGAGAGATGTACATGATTAATGATGCCATATACAAGATTACACCGTAAATAAGTAAAATGTATCTGAATGAAGTTCTAAGCATCGAATGAATTTGAAGGGTCCTTTTCTAGAATATAAAAACAACAGATAAATTTTTAGTTTTGCACACACACATAAAACATGAGAGAGTAATCGTAACTAACCTGCAAAGTACTTCTAAGTAATGATATATGGTTCATTGTATTCATCAGGCCATATGGAAAAATTAACAAAATTATTCTAATTTTGGAGGCATTAAATCCATTCTTTGCCACATCCGTTGCTATAATTGGGATTGAGATGAAGACGGAAAGTTCACAAAGAACAAACATTACGCCATGGTAGATTGTTCGAGTTCGATGATTTTCACATTTTAGTTCAAAACATCCCATGAAAAAGAAAACCGAAGCTATAAACAAAACATAAGATTAATGATTTGTAAAAAAACGCCAAAATTTCAAGCATGTTCGCTCGGCCTAGAGAGAGAGAGCTGGATCATTTAGGTTATGAGTGCTCACATACTGAGGAACTGGCTTGCAGGAGGCGCGCACGGACATGCTTGCAAAATATTATGTCAATTACTTGTGAGAATAGTTAGAAAGGCCCAAATTATGCCAACGTAAGTTTCAAAAGGTCTACATCCACAGAAAGAGTTCTGAAATAATTGATTACATGAAATGAACCACTGTTTTATTTCAATATATTATTTGAAATTATTACCAATAAACTTATAATATCTTCAATGCATGACACGAAGAAAAGTATATGACCCACAAACACCAGATATGGTAAATTTTCTCGGCAAAAATTGTCTAATTTTGCAGCAAAAGTTTCAAAGTTTTTAATTTGCATTATATGTTTGTTCTTTTGATTCACAATTACTCTTTTGATGACTCGTTTCTAATGTAAGATTTATTGTTTACTAATTTTTATGTGCAGCTGGTGTGCTTTGAATTGTGCATTTCTTTTTTACTATACATGTGTTATTGATACAAGTAACTCCTTAGTCCTCATTCTCATATGGTGACATCTAGTGTCAATTATGCGTATATACTAAAAAGGATTGTTTACTTGATTGTAACTAATTAAGCGGAGTAAAACACAAAGGAAACAACAATTTCGATGAAGAAAAAAATAAATGAAACAGATGCCTTAGGAATTGTAACATCTAATCGACTACATTATTGCCGTTCTCTTCTGTCCAAAAAAAACTGTTTTGCTGCGCCATTGTAGATGGTGTCATATTGTCATGATTAAGATTTTCAGGTGCTGATACAGTCCTTCTATCACGTTTAGTATCAACTTATTAATTTAAATCACTTAGCGAAATCGTCCAATTTACAACAATTTGCAACAATTTCTCATTCCAAACGGAATTAATGTGGTGAATAAGGTAGATAAGGTAACAATGACAATAAGGTGGCTATATTCTAATGGTTACTATGCGCATAGGAAAATCTATTCATTCAAGAAATTATTTTTTCTTTCTCCAAATGATTATTCTCGCCGAAGGCTGTGAAAATATTTGCTGAAGAAAACGATTTCAGAAGAGACAACAATAGAAACGTGTAGTGATTGTGAATAGGATCAAACGTTCTGCTTTATTAGTTCTGAGAAAATCGAAATTATTCTGATCGATATTGAAATTCTATTTAAATACAAAGTGAAAATCTGATGCACCTTATTGTGCACAGCTTGCACTGCAAACAGTCAACGACTTTGTTAATGCGCAAAAAAATATTTACATCATTAATTAAATCAAAACCACCCACAATCATGCGGTCGAAATTCATTTGATTTGTGCTCGATAGACTTGAAAATTGGCAACTGCTAATTAAATTACGTTCGATTGTGTGACGCTTTTCAGTCGATTAATTTATGACGACATTTCTTTTCAGGATTTTAAATTATGATTCATTTCATTCAGAACCACGAACGGTCATTCTTGGAATGTCTTCATATTAAAAGATTACTAAAAGAATTAGTGGTTGGAACCAAAAATGATTAGAAGTCTGTGGTCTTCGTGGAATCCACACGGACCATTTGCGTAGCTACTGAAACGTCTCAACGATTGCATCATTCCAATAAATCCCGTTTGAGATTCCACCTCCTATCACTGCGTTAGTAAAAATCCATCAAATTGATCACTAATTGATTTATATGCAATAATTGGACTAAGTGGCAAATCGGTATCACGTGAACCTCCATAATATAGGTGAAATGGACGCGCCAAAAAAATTTTTGTCTGAGAAATCTGAATTTTGGTTTCTTTCAGAAAAAAAAATTGGGCGTAGCGAATATCTGAACCTTTCTTTCCTCTGTGTATTGGTGCGCAAAACAGAAAGTCATGACACACTCACGCGATCAATGAGTCATATCGATTCTGACTCTTTGACTCCACTGACTCATTGCCTATAGAATGGAGTCAGAATCTAGCTCGTTTCTTATGACTCATGAAGAGCGAGTCACATCAAGTTAGACTCACTTTGGACAAATGGATGACTCCGATTATGACTCATATTGTGACTCACTTTATGACTCAATTATAATGTAGTGATTCACTTTTCCGAACAGGAGTCATAGATACATTCATACAAAAAAATCAATTTCAGGTACTTGCGAAGGAAATGTACGGAGAATCGAATTTTTCAAAAATGTCGACCATTAGTGCTCGGTCCCCAGTGCGCATTTTTTGGATCTGAAAAGTGCGTTTGCCAGCACTAAACCAGCACTAATTTTATAGCCTGGTCACGATACAAAAGAGTTACATCTTCGTGTAGCTTCCCTGTAAAAGAGCCAAAAATCGACTTTTCAAACACTTCTACAATTAGTGCTCGGCCTCCAGTGAACATTTTTTGGATCTGAAAATGGCATTTGCCAGCACTAATCTAGCACTTATTTTATAGCCCGGTCACGATACAAAAAAGTTTCATTTTTGGGTGTTTGGTTTTACAGGGTTTTAAAAGGGCCAAAAATCGAGTATTTACACATTTTTCAATTGAACCCGTGAGCATAAAAAGAACGTATTGACTCTTCGCCGATGAATACGAAACGCAAAAAATCGCCGAACAAAGTGAAACACCAATCCGTTATTGGATCAATATGAAATATGAAATCGTTGGCTACTATTTTATTTACGTTGCGCTTTGTTTCGAAGCGCGGCAAGTGTTTCATTTTGTTTCAGTAACAGAACGTTGTATCACTTTGTTCGGCGACGCCAAACTTTATCAAATTATAATTAAAATATATTCTGCATGGAAATAAATAAACAATTTCAAAATATAAGCTCTCTTCGAAGTCTATTTCTACCGCAAAATCATTTAAAATCTACATACATTTGTATTTTATCAATCAATCGATTGTTCAACTTTAAGTTAGATATAAAGGAGGAATGCGATTGAAAAGGTGTAAAGTACCAATAAGATCATGAAGCCTTTTATTTTGGCAATGACGCCAAACAGGGCGACAGCCCATCCTAATGTGAATCCATTCGCGAATCCATTGACGCCTGGAATCACGACACTCCCGACTCTAAAGACTCAAGTGAAAATCTCCGCAAAAAGAAAAGGTTCCGTCATTCTCGGGTCTTTGAGCAAATAAAGTAGCAGTAGAAATGAGCATGTACCGGCCAACAATTTTCCGAAATTCTAAAAGAAAAAAAAATGGAATGTTCAAGTTAAAATCACGGTTTGACCAATATTTTCTTCGAGACCGAGAGCGATAGAGGAAGAAAGTAAATGGAATGGGACATTGGTTGCGAGAAGCGGTATGAATTTGAATAGCGGGTGCAGAGGGAATGAGATGAACAGAATGAAACATAGAAATGTGTTTACGCTGTACGCCCGTCATTCTTGCCATATTTGCTTTCTGTGATGAGATAGTATGGGTGACCCGTATGTGCGACATCTCCCCTATATGCGTTACATTTGCATTTTATCAATCAATCGATTGTTGAACTTTAAGTTAGATGTAAAGAAGGAATGCGATTGAAATGTTGTAAAAGAATAATAAGATGAAAAAGCCTTTTATTTTGGCAATGACGCCGAACAAGGCTACAGCCCATCCTAATATGAATCCATTCGCGAATCCATTGACGCCTGG